AAGCTTACAGAAGGACAACCATCTGTGCTGCAATCCAACAATCAGGCGTCTGTATGGTAGAGCGGGCAGACGGAAGACACTCCCCGCCTGGAGTTTGCCATCTGAAGGACTCTCAGAGCATCAGAAACTAAACTCTCTGCTCTGATGAGACTCAAACTGAACTGTTTGGAGTGAATGCTAGGCGTTACGTGTGGAGAACAGCAGGCGGCGCTCATCAGCAGGCTAACAGCATCCCTACAGTGCAGCATGGTGGTGTTGGCATCATGCTGTGGGGATGTGTTTCAGCAGCAGCAACTGGAAGACTAGTCAGGATAGAGGGAAAGATGAATGCAGCGATGTACAGAGACATCCTGAATGAAGACCTGCACAAGAGTGCTCTCCACCTCAGACTGGGGCGACGCTTCATGTTCCAGCAGGACAATGACCCAAAGCACACCACCAACATATCAATAGAGCGGCTTCACAATGACTCAGTAATTGTCCTTGAGTGGCCCAGCCAGAGCCCAGACCTAAATCCTATTGAGCATCTCTGGAGAGATCTGAAAATGGCTGCACACCGTCACTTCCCATCCAACATGATAGAGCTTGAGAGGTCCTGCAAAGAGGAATGGGCAGAAACTCCCAAAGACAGCTGTGCAGAGCGTGTGCATCATATTCAGAAAGACTTGAGGCTGTAATCACTGCCAAAGGAGCCTCAACAGAGTGTTGAGCAAAGGCTGTGAACACTGATGTACATCTGATTTATCAGCTTTAATAAATTTGCAACAATTTCAGAAAGTCTTTCTTGTCATTGTCATTATGGGGGATTGTGTGTAGAATGTTGAGGAAATCAATCAGTTTAATCCCTTTGGAATAATGCTGGAACATAAACACATGTGGGAAAAGTGAAGCTCAACAAATACTTTCCGGATGCAGTGTACATGTCTTGCCCTCATGTTTATATCATGTTCTTTATTACTATTGTTTTTCCGTTCTTTCTTTCTCTCTCTTGTGTCTTTTTTCATTGACAATGTAATCCATATTCTGTATACCAACATCCTAACAAAGTCAACTGTTTTTTGCAATTACAAAAAAACGTACTCTCCCCTGATCTCAGTGCAGTTTCCTGAGGGTCCGGAATAAACCACCGATTTGTCATGGTGAAACACAATGTACTGCCGACAAAACTTCACATTCTCCATCCTCTCCAGATCCCGCTGAGTCCACTCTGAAACACACACTGACTAAAGTTAATTGCTCATTATATTTGCATATTGAGTAAATGACAAAAACTACATCCGTTCAGAGCTTGTTTTGCTCCCCGGTTGTGTAATTCTCCACATTTTCCTATTAGGAATTGATTTAAAGTTGGTTTTATATTCTCAATTTTACCTTGAATTTGGAATTCATCAGCCAATGACTATCAAAGTAGGCGACAACATTGTTGACAGTCAATTAAACAGTGCTGTTTACTGTCATGTTCAATTCAATAGTAAAATAGAATATAAAAAGACTAATACTGATAAACTATCACATGACGCACTGCTATAAGCACAACAGCACCTTTAAAGCTGAGTAACTCGCTCATCTCAGTAGACGCTCGCTATACTTTGAAAGTCGTTATCACTGTAAAATGCCTTTAACGTCCCACAAGACTGAACCAGACCTATAGATGAATTAGCGAGGCTGCAGAAAAAAAAACGGGAGTGTTAGACATCCCATGCGGTACAGAGTTTGTTGTTGTATTAGACAATAGTTATATTGATTATATATTATGTACAGTTGCAGTCAGAATTATTCGCCATCCATTTGATTTTTTTTTTCTTTTTAAATATTTCCCCAATTATGTTGAACAGATTCAGGAAATGTTCACGGTGTGTCTGATAATATTTTTTTTTCTGGAGAAAGTCTTATTTGTTTTATTTAAGCCAGAATAAAAGCAGATATACATTTTTTTTAATTCATTTTAAGGTCAATATTATTAGCCCCTTTAAGCTATACATATATATTTAATCGATAGTCTACAGAACAAACCATTGTTATACAATAACTTGCCTAATTACCCTAACCTGCCTAGTTACCCTAGTTAAGCCTTTAAATGTCTGTGTAGAAGTGTGTTGAAGAATATCTAGTCTAATATTATGTGCTGTCATCATGACAAAGAGAAAATAAATCAGTGATTAGAGATGAGTTATTAACACTGTTATGATTAGAGATGTGCTGGAGAAATCTGCTCTCCGTTAAACACAAATTGAGGAAAAAAATAAACGGGGTGAATAATTCTGACTTAATCTGTATATTACAGTTTTTCTCAGTGGCGTTGGTGCATTTCTCACAACACTATTTACATTTGCACAACAGTTCGGGCATTTGTCACATCATAGTAGCAGTTTCTCATTCCTTCCAACTAATTGCGAATGCTTTCGGTCATGCATCCATTGCTTTCATACAACTCTCTGCTGTTTCATAACATTATCATCTGCTTATGTCAGGTCAGTTAAACTGAACTTGTGAACACTGAATAGTCACTCCATATAAAACTAACAGTCCTCATTTCATTACTGGAGTCATCATCGCATACACAAATGTTGAACTAGTGTCAAAATCTGTCAAGCTAATTTATAAAAGATTTGAAATCTTTATATTTCAGAAGATGTCTTCTATTGAACAATTTGATCAAGCATTGTGCAAAAGAGTAAATACACAACAAACTTAAAATTTACAACAAACATAAACTCCCTTTGAACCTTCATCATACACAGGTCTGTAAATCATTCATCAAATTGTTCAATAATAGACATTTTCTTGAAAAAACGATTTCAAATCTTTTATAAATTAGCTTGACAGATTTTGACACTAGTTTAACATTTGTGTATGCGATGATGACTCCAGTAATAAATGAGGACTGTTTTATATGGAGTGACTATTCAGCGTTCACAAGTTCAGTTCATTTTAACTGACCTGACATAAGCAGATGATAATGTTATGAAACAGCAGAGAGTTGTATGAAAGCAATGGATGCATGACCGAAAGCATTCGCAATTAGTTGGAAGGAATGAGAAACTGCTACTATGATGTGCACAAATGTCCTAACTGTTGTGCAAATGTAAATAGTGTTGTGAGAAATGCACCAACGCCACTGAGAAAAACTGTAATATTGTTTGAAAATTTGACCAAATATTTTAGATGTTGGTTTATTTTGAAATGAATGCATATTTTACAGGGAAATACATGTTTTTTACACTGTTTCATTAATATAAATGGACTTTTTCTACAATCTATAAAGTTGCAATAGTAAGAGACGCATTACTTTTCTGAAAATAGACTTTTTATAATCACACTGCAATGAAAATATACGAATCTGTCCATGACAGGGCTGACACAATTTGAGGTTTGTTTACTGTTTTTCTGCTTGCAGTTTAGCCTGACCAACATTCATTTCTTACAGCCTAGTAAGACAACAACTATGTGGTTAAATGAAAAATTATCAAACTTCAAACGTCTCAAAGTCACTTTATAGTGAGAATGACCATGACTATTGGGTCTGAAATGGCATGTAGTGACATTAAAACAACACTAGCACTATTTAACTGACTGTGAACAACGCTGTTCTGTGATATTCATTAGCAAATAATAAGATTCCACTGTTTAGAATTTGCAAACAATACTTTGTATGCAAGATCCAAAGTTTAATTTGTGTGCAGTTTAAAATCTATTAATCTGTTCAAATCAAATCAAAGTCTTTTAATTATTCGAGTGACATAAAAGATGAAAAAATCCCGTTTATACCTGTGTAGATGTTGCTATACTGTCCGCCGTATCCTGAGGTGATCACTGGTCCCACATCAGCACGACACAAGCTGGGAAAACGGCACTGATCCCGGTACAGCTGAGCGATCTCCACCGGATCCCGGAGCACCTACAGCAGCAGCAGCGCGCGCACACACACACAGACGGAGAGAGACAGAGTTGTGCGGTTTCCCATCACAATGCTGCATGTGAAGTTGTGATTATAGCAGTGAGCTGCTCTTCAGATGAAGTAGTCCGCGTTCAGCAGCAGTGAACAGACTGAGCATCTCAGTGTCCATTATAATTCACTGTTTCACTGTTTAGAATTTGCAAACAATACTTTTCTGAAATATTATTAAGCAGAACGTCTGAATATGCAAATTTAAAACCAACTCAATCATGTTAGATCCAAAGTGTTGTTTAATTTGAGTGCAATTTAAAATCTATTAAACTGTCAAAATCAAAATATTAAAATTTTTCGTGTGACATAAAAAGATGCAAAAAGCCCGTTTATACCTGTGTAGATGCTGCTGTATTGTCCGCCTTATCGCTTATCTGCAGCATTGAGCCCATGATAGCAGAGTAAAGTGAGTCTCAGTCAGAAATCCGACCGCTAATCATAGAGCTGAGGGGGCGGAGCTACCGTGACCACACTCTTCTCTCATTGGTCAGACGCGAAAACGTGCGCGTTAATATTTTTTTCATCTGACAAAGGACTTTAGCTATTTATTGTATATGCTGTAATAATTGAAAGACATGCAATGTGTGTGTGTGTGTGTAGGCCTATATGTAAACTAATGTATATACAGGCCTATATATGTATATACTGGTGGCTCAGTGATTAGCATTTTGCCTCACAAGTAAGAAGGTCGTTGGTTCGAGTCCCAGCTGGGTCAGTTGGCAGTTCTGTGTGG